CGCCGCCGCCGCCGCCGCCGCCGCCCGCTGCCGCCCGCTGCCGCCGCCCGCTGCCGCCGCGGTTCCGCCGGCGCTTGCGGTCACCCAGAAACATGGAGGCTCCGGGTGCCCATCGGGAAGGGTAAATGGGTGTCGGGGCGCTCGGCTGCGCGTGCTGCCTCCCCCTGCCTGGGCTGCGGCGCCCACAGGGGCTGCGGGGAACCGGGCGGCGCAGCCGGCAGCGCGGCGGGCTCGGGCTGAGTCCGGGGCGGGCGAGTCTGTGCCGACCATGGAGGCCGGCCCGGGCTGGGGCGGGCGAGGGGGGCTGGCGTCCAGCGGAAGGAGAGAACACGGAACGGGCTCGGGGACCCTCCGGGCAATGCGGGGCGCGGGGCGGGGGGCGCAGAGAGGAGCTGGTGGGTGATGGGAAGTGCAGTGACAGCATAACCATGTCTGGTAAATAGAGCCGGTTGGTAGGACCCATATCACTTGCGACGGCCGGGCAGCGTTCCCCCCTCCGGCTCGGAATGAAAACGGCTTTTCGGCAGAGAAGGGCTTTTCCGCCTCCCTGGGGCCGTGGGCTGCCGGGTGACCCCGCTCTTAGGAGGGAGGAAGCCAAGATCTGGGGCAGCAGCCTACTCCCCACCCCCAGTGTTTAGGTTCCAGTGTTTTCCGAAGGAGATGGAGCCTAGGAGCTCCCTCGGATCCTAGGGGCAAAACAGCTGGGCTGCGCTCAGGCCCGCCGCTAGAGCCCCCTCCGGATCGGGCAGGAGGGGGTTAAGGTGGCGCTGGCTGCCGCGGCCAGCTGGTGGGTCTGATCCACTCGCTCCGACCCGAGCGCGGAGCGCGCCCGGCGGAGTCCCGGCCGGAGCCCGGGGCGATGGGGAGAGGCCCCGGACCCCTCCCCGCCCTGGGGCCGGCAGGATTGGGCCGGCAGGGGGCCAGCCCGGAAGCCGGCTTCCTCCAGGCTCCCCCCTCTCGCTGCTGCCAAGCCGCCTCGAAGCCAGGCTGACTGAGCCTTGGTTCTGTGCTCACTGCCGAGGAGACGACGTGAGGGATTTTGTCTTGGGGAGAAATCGGTGGTCGAGCGCCTGCCCAGTTCAAATGCCACCGCGCCCGGAGGGAGGCCTGCAGTTTAGGGATCCCTGAGGGAGAGTAAGTCCTGGGACCAAGCCAGCCAGCTTTTGGAGATCGACCTTTCTGTGTGAGGAGTCTCCCTAAATGAGCTCTGAAGGAGTGTGTGTATTGGGGGGCCAGAGTGGGGAGGAGCCGTTCTTCTTCCAGGACTCTGCAGAGGACAGAGCTGGAAGTCAGGCTGCGGCGTAGGAAGCCCTCCCCTTGGGAGATGCTGTGTCCTGACCTGGGGGTGGGAGGCTTTGCCCAGAGTCCCTCCTGATGGCTGCAGAGGACCAATGGGGCATCTGGCTCAGCCCGGGGAGGCCCCTGGAGGAGACAGGCCCAGCCAGGTCTAAAGGCTTGTTCCCTGGGAGAGCATACTTCCAACTGATGTAAGCCTGCCCAGAGGAGGCTGGGAGGCTGAGGGATAGTTCTCAGGTGTGACACCAGAATGCAAGGTGGGCATGGAAGAGAAGCTGCCAGCGCCCTCCTAAATCTTGGCACCAGCTGCCCAAAAGCCCTGATTCCACCTTGTTTTTTCCAGGCAACGTCACACCTCCTGAGGACAGCCAGGAGGACTCTGGCTTTTGCTGAGCATTGCATCTTGCCTCCTTCCTTTCAAAGGCTCCAGACCCAATCTCGGCTGTCCTCGAGTCCTGCGTGCCCTTGACCAGGCATCCCACTGCCCCTCCAGCCCAGCCCAGCCCTGGAGCTCACCTCCAGGACCTGGAGCCTACCCTCCTGCCCAGAATGACTCACCATTATTTCTAGCTCAAGTGAGAAGACGTGATGGGGAATCAGACTGCCTGTTTGTGTATCTAGGATTCCTGCAGCATCAGATCAGTTCTGCAAGGAAGAGAGCTGCAGATTCCTGCCTTGTCAGGTAAATCAATCTATTATTTAATAACCAATAGCCATGTGTAGAGTCATTGGGGTGTGGGCAATGAGAGAGGCCCAGGCCCAAGGTCCACCACTGCAAATACCTCCCAGGGTGCAGGTATCTGCAAGACGTTAGTTCACTGCCTGGGAGAAGGTTCCCTTCCAGCCTCTGATATGGGGCTGTGCTCCATGAAGCCTGTGCAGTGCAGAGGGACCTGTACCAGCCACCTGCCCCCAGTGCAGGGCAATCCAGAGCTTTCTTGAGAGACCGCCACCTGCTCCCCTCTCATCCCCAGCCAGGCTACGAGGTGAACATAAATCTTACTTTTTTGTGGTGGTGGTCATATTTTTGAGCTTCTTGGCTGAGAGATGAGAGAGAAAAAGCAGCAACCCAGGTCAAGTTGCCAATGCTGAGTGGTCTTATGTCCTTAACCACCTCTGTCTTTCAGCCAAGCGGGGCTATCTCTCTGGCTCTCAGAGAGACCTGGGGGCTCCCCTGCAGGAGTGCAGGCCGATGCTGCTGTGTTTCCTGGGGCCGTAAGCAGCGCCCTGAGCTCCCTGCCGCCAGGCAGCTAGAAGGCATAGCGAGAGGCGCTTCTCTTGGTTCCAATTATGACAGTGGCCACCGGAGACCCAGTGGATGAGGCCGCTGCCCTCCCTGGGCACCCGCAGGACACCTATGACCCAGAAGCAGACCACGAATGCTGTGAGAGGGTGGTGATCAACATCTCAGGGCTGCGGTTTGAGACCCAGCTAAAGACCTTAGCCCAGTTTCCAGAGACCCTCTTAGGGGACCCAAAGAAGCGGATGAGATACTTTGACCCTCTCCGGAATGAGTACTTTTTCGATCGGAACCGCCCAAGCTTTGACGCCATTTTGTACTACTACCAGTCTGGGGGCCGGTTGAGGCGACCCGTGAATGTGCCCTTAGATATATTCTCCGAAGAAATTCGGTTTTATGAGCTAGGAGAAGAAGCAATGGAGATGTTTCGGGAAGATGAAGGCTACATCAAAGAGGAAGAGCGTCCTCTACCCGAAAATGAATTTCAGAGACAGGTGTGGCTTCTCTTTGAATACCCAGAGAGCTCAGGGCCTGCCAGGATTATAGCTATTGTATCTGTCATGGTGATCTTGATCTCAATCGTCAGCTTCTGCCTGGAGACGTTGCCCATATTCCGGGATGAGAATGAAGACATGCATGGCAGTGGAGTGACCTTCCATACCTATTCCAATAGCACCATCGGGTACCAGCAGTCCACTTCCTTCACCGACCCTTTCTTCATTGTAGAGACCCTCTGCATCATCTGGTTCTCCTTTGAGTTCTTGGTGAGGTTCTTTGCCTGTCCCAGCAAAGCCGGCTTCTTCACCAACATCATGAACATCATTGACATTGTAGCCATCATCCCCTACTTCATCACCCTGGGAACAGAGCTGGCTGAGAAGCCAGAAGATGCTCAGCAGGGCCAGCAGGCCATGTCACTGGCCATCCTTCGAGTCATCCGGTTGGTAAGAGTCTTTAGGATTTTCAAGTTGTCCAGACACTCCAAAGGTCTTCAGATTCTAGGTCAGACCCTCAAAGCCAGCATGAGAGAATTAGGCCTCCTGATATTCTTCCTCTTCATCGGGGTCATCCTCTTCTCTAGTGCTGTCTATTTCGCAGAGGCCGATGAGCGAGAGTCCCAATTCCCGAGCATCCCGGATGCCTTCTGGTGGGCAGTCGTCTCCATGACAACTGTAGGCTATGGAGACATGGTTCCAACTACTATTGGGGGAAAGATCGTGGGTTCCCTATGTGCAATTGCAGGTGTGTTAACCATTGCCTTACCTGTCCCCGTCATAGTGTCCAATTTCAACTACTTCTACCACCGGGAGACAGAGGGAGAGGAACAGGCCCAGTACTTGCAAGTGACGAGCTGTCCAAAGATCCCATCCTCCCCTGACCTAAAGAAAAGTAGAAGTGCCTCTACCATTAGTAAGTCTGACTACATGGAGATCCAGGAGGGGGTAAACAACAGTAACGAGGACTTTAGAGAGGAAAACTTGAAAACAGCCAACTGCACTTTGGCTAATACAAACTATGTGAATATTACCAAAATGTTAACTGATGTCTGATTGAACCCTATTCACATACTCACAGCTCAATGGAACTAATGCAGATATTGCATAATAGCCTGCATTGTAGTCAGTGTGTTCTACAGTGTGTATCTGGTTCTGCATGGAAAGCAATAGTCGTGCAAGTGACTTTTGATCTTTTGATTTTTGATTTAGAACACAGAATATGTATCCATGGCTTTCATGCAAATCTTCATCACCGGCTTAGGGGTTTCCAAAGATGGGAGTCACCTATGGAAGCCAGGATTTCAGAAGGACACATTGAGGCCACCTCATAGCAAATACAGAACCTACCACATCAGTGTCACCTTTTCTTCCTAATGAAATGCACACGGCATCTCAGAGATGCAATTCCCCCCACCACCCCACTTGAGCCTACCTCCCCCTTCACAGAGGAAAACCACGGTAGCTTAGCTTTAAAGTTCTGGTAATTATTCGAAAGGTCTTTCCCATTTTTGCATTGAAAAGAACACACAGTGCTGTGTGTTGGAATTACTTTCTGTGTCACAGGCTGGGGGGTTGTGAAATGCAGTTGCCAAGCAGACGCTCCGGAGGCTTGTGTTTCATAACGGAAAATACTGCATTTGGTTTTTTCTCTGCAGTGTCGATGTGAGGGAAGCCCAGGGGAGGGACGGTTAGGATGACCGAATGTGAGTTGTCAGGTTTCACATTTGCTCCCTTAGCCCTACCGGGAAAAGCTGACAAACCAAGGGACCTCTCAGCTTCAGATTTCACCATTTTTGCAGGCTTCGGGGTCACAAAAACATGTCTGATTTCTTCGCTACACTGGAGGTTGCAGGCATCTGCTTTCCTAGTGCCGGGGCCCAGCTACACTGACACTGCAGTGAAATTTACCAGTGATGCGATAGAGCTGCATGGGTGTTTGTTGCATGAATCTCAATATTTAAAACACAGGAGATAACCTATTTTCTTAGTAGCCTACACAGTATTCATATTTAGAGTATTAATAGCCTAGGAGTGGCATTGAACGAGGGTTGTCTTTTTCTTCCCATCAGAATACAAAAGCCCTCAGGAGAAAAATAATAGACTGTTTGGAGTGGGGAACCAAAACTTCTGGCCCTCCAGCCCACCCCATCCCTGTTCTTCCAAATGGGGGCACACAGCTCTGCAAAGCCAGGAGAGCGAGCAGGGAAAGCAGTGTCTAAACACCTCACGTGACTGCATCTTAGGAATTAACCTAGTCATGGGCATGACTGTATAGCTGACTGGGGCATCTCGTCCTGAGGAAATGCGGATCTGTGGATCCAGTGTATATAAATATGTATCGAGAATCTCTTTCACGAATTCCTCTACCTAGCTAGCTATAGAAAAAATTGCATTTGAACCTTGTATAAGCTTATGCAATATTTTTGACACAGGGCAATATATGCATGTGTTTGACTATGTGCACTAGAGTGTGTATATGTATATATACACACACACATATATATACATATATACACATACATACGTGTGTATATGTATATATGCACACATACATATATAGTCATTCTCTGGAGTTCAGGTTCAGGAGCAAATCCACTGCTTGGTGGGTTGGTTGTCTCAGAGGCCTAATGGGTTAATTTGTCTCATTGATCATCCCACTGGGCCTAGGTTTGCTGCCATTGCCTCAGACACTCCAGTCTTCATGGATTCTTAGATGTTCGAATTGTCTTTCTGCCCTCCATGTGCTGCAGCTTCAGTTTCTCATGGCTGAAGCTTGTCTTACTGAGTGCACAAGGGCCCTAGGGCCCTCACAGCTCCAGCTGTCCTGGGCCAGACCCAACCCAGGCCTCCTCTCTACAGCCCATCATCTTCATCATCTCCATTCTCGTCTTTCCCCACCCTGTCCGGTTTTTATTTAAGACGTAGAATGTATTTACCAATATAGAACATACACAAGAGACCTACATATACCATGAATGAAGACACAACCTGCAACTCTGATGCAAAATACACAAAAACAACATGGTCATTTGCCTCTGCGTCAGTCACTTTCATGAATCTTTCCCCAAAGAGCCAGAATGGATCACCTGCTTTGAAACCAAGGACACTAAGGAGGAGGGCTCCTGGGGACCCAATTTCACAGGTCTGGGCTGAAAGGAAACCTCCTCTATGTGGAAATTTCTGAAGTTCAGGACCAAGGGAAGGAAACCCTAGTTGATCCACAGGCATCATGTTCTCTCAAGCTCTCTCCGCATTAAACTGGCAACCGGGGCTGCTTAAGAAACCAAAGGCTGGGTACAGAATCATTCCCCACCGCCAGAACAGGCTGCGAGTGAAGAAGCACTGCATAGCCTAAAGGTAGAGTTCAGCTGGCCCTGGAATAGATGGAGGTGGGGAAGCTTTTGCCTCACAAACTGGGCTTCTTTGCCTTTCAACATAATAGATTAAATTGCCCAAACACAGCGAGTTGTGTGGTCAGGCTGCCCAGCCATGACTCCAGCCCCAGCCTCACTGTTGGCTCTTCAGCACCTCCAGTTACCCTGGGGGGGTGGGGCACCAGCCCAGGGTGCTCACTAGTTCCTGGTCACCCACATCCCCAGGGATCTGCAGGGCATCCCAGGCCCAGCGCGAAGCCTCTGTGCTTCTCTTCCTCGCCTATATGGGAGATGGTGCTGCATTTCCAAGACATAGGGTGGAGGGACACAGACCTTGGGAAAATAGATGGTAAGACAACCCATACCTAAGGGCGACGTTGTGGGGTAGATGTTTTATCCCAGTGTCCTTGACCTGGGACTATAAAATGTTCACCCACACCGGCACACAGACATGCACACCCATCACAAAAGAGATCTACATTTTGCCATACACAAATACAAAACATGCACCACACACGCAGAATACACAGAGACCAAATTAATGAAAAGGGCACTCAAAAGATACACGGTTATACCTATATCCAGAATACGCACACTCAGCACAGACACGGAATGTACTTACCAATACAGAACATATACAAATACCTACATACACCACGTACAAACCTGCAACTCAGATGCAAAACACACAGAAACTACATGGACACATGGGTACACATACAGAATACACAAAAGATACTTTACTATTATTTCTGCACACAAAATACAAACTCGGTTTATACACACAATACATTTATTTATATTACACACACAAAATACAGCACACACACCCAAGAACACACACACACCCCACACATGAAATGTGTACATATACTCAGATCCATTGTTCTGCCCCCAAAAGATCAGATTTAATCATCTTTCCCTAACCTGCATCTCTCCCCCTCAATATCCTTCAGGAAATCTCTTCTTCTAGTCTTTTCCCCCGCCTCACTCCTAGATTTCAGAAAAATAACCCCAAGGTTTAAGGCAAAATATGGACCACCATTGTCAAGCAGATCTGTGATTAAGACTGGGAATCTCATAGGGTTTCTACCTGTTCACCTTCCTCCCACCAGAAACCCTGGTGCCAAGCATGGAAGGACCTGGGACAGCTGACGGTCCATTAATATACACCTCCTGGCCCCGTCCTTTCTTTCAAAACAAGTCCACACAGACAACCCAATAGCCCAGTCTCCCCTGCTCCCAACCCCTGGGATCTCTGGATTCAACCCCGTCCTCTTGAAAGCAGTGGTGGCTCAAGAAATTGCAGGGTCGCAGGCCCAGAACCAGAGTGAGGATGCTCCCAACGTTCCCTCAGCCCACAGACCTTATCGTCCCTCCATCCCCAGTGGCTTTGTCAGGGGGCTCAGTCAGAAAGTCAAGGCCGTATGTAGACTTGTCTCTTAGAATGAGTCACCTTTACTTGCTTGTGGCATCTCACTTGCTCTTGGGCATAAGCCCCATGGAGTCAACTCCTGAGTCCCCTCTATGGGTGTGCAATGCCAGGCAGGCTTCTTCCCCTGCCCCGGCTCCACCTGGTTGCCTTGCCTCCCACCCAGTGGCTGTACCTTGAGGAAACACACACCAATTCAGCTTAAGTGAAACCTGATTAAGGACTTAAACCTGACGTTACACAAGCAAACAGCATCTTTTTTTCAGGAGGCCTGATTTGTATCCTATATTCTAAGGCCAGATTGAAATGCTTTGTAAGATTACACGCTGTTTTGGGTTACACACAGAGCTGGCTCTTCCCACTAGTAGGACTAGCTGAGAGCTGGGTGCGTTTTAGCAAAGGCTTCACCTCAGATGGAAGTTGGGGGGTTGAAGTCAGGCATCAGATCAGGTCTCTGCTCCTGCGGCCATCCAGGATGTGCCCCACGCTTCCCTCCTGAAGATGGTCAAGCTCCCAGTCTCCATGGAGGAAGCAACAGCCACAGGGAATGAGCGTGTGGGTCCAAATCTGCACATTCCGCGCAACATGCTGGGCCTTTCAAGTGTTTTCAAGTCAGGATACCAATTTTCCCTTTAGCTTCAGCAGGTGCTTCCATGGGCTCAAACTTTCAAGGACGTTGGAGTTCTCAGGAGTCCACAGAGAAGGAAGTCCAGGAGAGGTGGAGAGGTTGTCAGGAAGAAAGAGTACCTGAGCTAGTCATATTTCAGAATTAACTTTTCAGGAGCTGAAATGTACCGAAGGTCATAATGAAGGCACTGTGCTTCCTGAAGCTTCTGTGGTGTTTGACACACTCTTCCTTCCTCTCTGCTTCCCTCTGCTCCTCTCAGCTGGGCCTCCGAGGATGGAGTAGGCATGAAACCAGGAGGTTAGCCCTGAAAGGGGGCCCCAAGTGAGTGTGCCCCCAGACTCCATTGGTCTGGTGTGGAAAGGGCTCCCAGGAAAGCTTTGTTGAGTCTCCAGCCTGGGGGCTCATGTGGCCACCCCGTGTGGAGAGGGCTGCAGAATTAGCTTGTCCTGTCTGCTCTCCCTGGATCTCTCACTCCATTGTAGTGAGGTCTTTGGCCAACTTCCTTAATCATGGTCAACCATAAAGTATCAGTGCCACGCCCAGCTGAGAGAGGGCGGGCTGGGGGTTCAGTGCTGCCAACAGTAGCAGAGAAGAGAGGTGGAGGCTGACTTTCCCCAAAGGAAACTATAGGACAGTTTGCAAATTGCATATGAGGGTAGCACCTGACCCCCCCCACCCCCGCCATGGCAGGTGGGAGGAGTACACTGCTTTGAACTGTTTACCCAGGGGTGGGGATGGTGAACCCTGCTCCAGCTCTGGCTCTCCTGGGGCCCGTTGTCATAACAGCCTCCATCTGGGTGACGGCTGCCTGGTCTGAGAGGGCTGGTCTACATAGGGTGTAATTTCCAGGGTGCTCCTTGGTTACACAATGGAGGCTTGCCCAGCCTTGGCAAAGTGTCCATTGCCAGGTATGAACCCATGACCTCAAACTCATTAACATCATTAGCCACCTGCAGAGCCAACTAGCAGAGCGCTGGATGCTGGGAGGTGTCCAAACGGCTAATGTGACCATTATCTTGATCCTAAGACTTGGCCCTTGTTGAGACCAGCCCTGTTCTCTCATCAAAGCAGCAAGCAGGGACAGGTAGAGGTAAGGGATCCCTGACAAGCTGGGATGGGTCTCTTCCTCAAACAAACCTAGTTCACTTTTCCCTTCTTTCTGCTTCCTTTCCCACCAAAGTTCAGCTCCATCTCTCATAGTTTATTTTTTAAAGAGGAAACGTGCAATAAACTCAATAGTGACTGTTTTCTTTAGCAATAGTTATCTCAAAATCTTGTTCTCAGGACTGAAAAGTGACAGTACCCGGATGCTCAGATAATGCCCTTGGCTTCTGGGCATTAGTTCACCGTCTCTGTAGTTCCCTCTTCTTCCCACATGGTCATATGACTCCTGCCCTCTGAGGCTCTGACCCTCCTTTGGAATGTAAACATACACCGGTTCAACATCTGCACAAGGAAGGTCGGGAGAAGGCTTTCTTTATCTCTCTGACTCTTCCCTGTGTGCACCTCTCTCTGTCTCCGTGTGCATCTCCGTCCCTCTCTCCCTGCCACCTGCCCCTTCTGCCTGCTCTCACATGGCACTCTCACAACCTCCAGGCACTGAAACCTTGAGTTTGAGTGACCTCACACCAGGTCATCTCGTGGACTTACGGTCAGACTGGCAGGGTGTAATGGAAGCCTGCAGGAAAGCGCTTACCAATAGATAAG